GTGCCAAGCCGAGGATGGGATCAGAGCAGTGACTAATGGCTATTTCAGGCTGATGGGGGCATATCGACTGCTGCTGCTCCCCGGTCAACCCTTCCTCCTGCATTTCCACTGTTGCCTCCCTCAAGAGCAAAACACAACAGCACCGTGCCAGTGGTTTCTCAGAAATATGCAACCACAAAAAACTGCTCAGCCAGCAGTATTGTGAAGAACTTATATCTATGGGCCTTACCAGTTTAGTGCAGGACGGAAACAGCAAATCAGGGGAATGCCAGGACCCCCAACCCCCCAGAGCATGAAGTGATAAGTACAAGCGAGAAATCCTAAGTAAATGCTGCCTGTGACTCAGTTCCCTTTGTGATCTTGATTTATGTGTTTTTTTTACATTTTCATTCAGCTTGGATTACAAGAGGGTGGGGTGGAGGAGACAGGGAAAGAACAGCACAGAAAGGAGCCTGGAGTTGATGGACAGAGTCCTGCAGCCAGATCCATCCCATTCCTGCTGCAGCAATGTGACTGAGGGATATTTTTCCCAGTGGCTAATGACATGCAGAAGAGGGAAAACTGCCAAGCCAGAAGAATCCACCACTCATTTTGCTTATCATGCATAATCAGGACAGCATCATTCAGCAGGAATCAGAACTTGCACAGGGGAGATAGGAGAAGGACTGGCAGTGCTGACATAGTTTTCTGCTAACTGTCCCTATGCTTGGTCTGCAAGCACAGTGGCAGGGTAGCAGGACTGGATAAAGGGGACAAAGTCCAGAATGGTCATGCCAGAAGGTATATCACTATGATGAGCAGATGAATCACTTTCAATGTTAGTTTATCTTAATCTATGGGAGGGGAGGGTTTTTTTTTGTTTTTTGCTGTAAAATTGAGGGGACAGATGAGGGACTCAGTTACTAATAGCTGAATGCTGATTGGCTGAGACATCTCTGCTTGCCTACTGATTGTCAGTTCTGATTGGCTGTCAGTTCTCAGTAGGTGCTGCACATTCATAGCACTTCAGTGCTTGTGATATCCTGGTAACTAAATGGGTAACTAGTTAAAACAATTTAATTCTGAAAACAGAAAACCTGGACAACTAAATAGCTAGTTATCTGGAAGTGCACTAAAATTAGGGAGACCCGCAACCAACTACCAAATCAACCATGAAGCTCACTTGACGTCCTTGGGCCAGTCACAGTCTTTCAGCCCAACTAAGCAGACAAAATAAAGGGAGAAGTAAGTTGCAGGACAGACTGCATAATCTTACCATGTTTCCAAAAGATATAGTAAGTTATGTAGAAGTGGCTCACTGGGAAAACAGGACTTTATCATGGAACCTCCATAATACCACCCGTAAGAAGTAGTTATGATCTTGGCAGTGATAGGCAAATCGAGTCTCTAATCAGATCACAGCAAGTAAACCCATATCCAAAACGCTAAAGGTTTGGGAGTGGGGAGATCTATTTACACCTATTTCCTTGTGATGGAATGTAGGTTTGACTTAGAGAAGAGGAAGAGAATGCTGAGCCATTACAGAAAATATATTTGAGTTCTGGGAAAGTAGAAAGTGTGAGAGAGAAACTCAAAACAACTTCACCTTGATTGTGTTGAAAATAAGCTGAAGTAGAGGGGCTTTGATAGGCTTTCAAGATTCTGTCATATTTCAAGTCTGCTAGCAATGCCTGTTTCCTGATCGTGCCTACCTCAAAGCACTGACAGTCTTAGATAAGGTGTTCAGAGTGTGACCCCCCAACCTGAAGTATGATTCACTGAGGATGGACACCATAACAGTAAATGGCATATATGTGTTCATGTTATGGTGAATGGAATATTTTAAAAACAGGTAATGATCAAGCGTTGCACATTCTTGGTTATGGTGAGTAGTTCTGTTTTGGAGAAAACTTTTAATTTGTTCTACAGGAGAGTATCACTCAGTTCTACTATAGTTACTATCCTCCAATTTCTGTGTCTTGTGAACACATCTGCAGAATATGTGTGATGGCATATTGTGGATGAAAGTCAAGGAGTATAAGACAGATTGGTTTCACCATTACTAATCGAGTTGGTCATGAAATTCATCTAGAGAGACGATGTTATGTGTGCCAAAAACGGAAGAGGGCTATTGTGTAGCAATACCCTCCTCCTGACTTTTTTTTTTTTTAAGTGAAGTTTTACCCTTTCAACATGGTCTTTCTTCCTGTAATAAAGTTTTTGTTGTTTTGTCTTTATTTTCCTTCTCCTGAGTATGTTATTTTGTAGGGTTTTTCTACATGCACCATTTGTATTTTGTATTTTAATTGCTGATTATAAACTCCTAGATTTGTAATAATGGGAAATGATATACAAGGATATTAAATGGCCATGATGACATCCACAATAACAACAGCTTAGTCTCCTTCTTACAGAATGCCAATGAGGCCCTTGGCTCCCTAGGTTGGCTAGATCCCCCCTCAGACGGATGCTGTGAAGCTGCAAGAAACTTGGTGGTGAAAGGAAAGTAACCATCTGTTCCTATTGCCAGATTCCAGTTGTCTACCATTCTAGGACAGTGGACATATTATATTCTTTTTCTCATATGATAGAGTGTGTGGTAAGATTCAGCAATCTTCTGTCACTAAAGCTGCATTTACTTTTTAGCTAGGTTGCTGTTAGTCTCATGAATGTGGGAAAAAAGACTAACATGACAGTATTCGATTGGGCATACGGTATGTTTCCCAAAGTCCCAGTATGACAGTGGGAATTATTGTGTTGATGCTTATGCTCATATTCCAATGGGCACAAATAAGCCCTTAGTGACTGCTACTGTATTTTTATTGGATAGCAGATTGGATTGTATAGCTATAATGCCATATAATGTAAATAGCATTCTATAGACATAGAAAGAAACGCACAGAGAAAGGAACATTAAAGAGTACTGTAATATTTATAAGAACGTATTCTTCAGACTGGTGCTTGCAAGAAAGTAAAAAAAGGCAAGGGTTATTTAGAAAATAACATGGTGATTGAAAAGCCTGAGTTACTTAAGTCTACTTACAGCCAAGAGTCTGTAGCAGCGTTTCTCAACCTTGGCAACTTTAAGATGTGTGGAATTCTGGGAGCTGAAGTCCACACATCTTAAAGTTGCCAAGGTTGAGAAACACCGGTCTGTGATGTGCTCTCCTCCATCATGAAGACAGAGCAAACAGCTAAGTACCAGAAAAGGAGAAATGAACTGGGAGAGGAAGGAAGAGATGAAAATCCCAAGGGTATCAATCTAACCAATAGGAAGCAGGTTGCAAAGAAAACTGCAAACTCTTTTAGCTAAGGAAAAGTGTTAATTACAAAGTGCCAATTATCTCTACACCTGTTGCCCCCAGTGGTCAGTTAGTTTATAGGTGCAGACACTGGTGCATACAAGGTTGATTTCCATTTTATTTTTTCCTTCCAGATGTGGCATCAGCCTGTGGCACTGTGATATTACCAAAACAACGGTCCACACTAATACCTGTGCTTTTGTGATGTCAGCCATTTTGTTTGTCACAATACCTTAAACCAGAACTGGGCAAAAGATAGATATCATCTGCTGTGTTCTAAAATTAGCAACAATTAAAAACAATTTCCCCCCCTTAAAAATATTACTGAAAAAGAAAGTGGATTTGAGAGCTTGGTTCTGATGCTGATTCCCAATTACACACACCCAGAGGCTCCCTCTTCCTTAATTTATAATGCATGTTTACGTGCCTGACGGGCCCTATTAAAAAGTCTCTAATAGAAACAAAACAAACTAGATGCCACAAGCCCGAAGGTTGTCCACCCTCATCCTTCACCTATATGACATCCTGTGGCAACTAGCTTCTTAAGAAGAAAGGGGAAAAAAACCCCTATTCATAGAATTCATACCGTTGCATGGTATTTTACCAAGAGCATGCCAGTGCCAAGAAAACCCTCTTCGTTGTTGTAGCAAGCTTTAGCTTTGAAGGGTAGCTTGTAGA